ACCATCACCATCTCCTATCACTACCACTGCCGCCCACCACTTCTCACCCCACTACAACCGACGCTTAAATTTATTTATTTTTCTCATATGTTTGTGATTTGATTTTAAATATGAATACAAATATATTTATTATTTACCATTTTTTATTACTTTATGCCTTCAAGCACATGCAATAGCTAATTCTTCCATATAAAACATAATATAGACTATCCACACACAAGAACAGAACTGTCAATATGTCGTGTCATGTCGAATTCTTATGAGTCCGGGACTCATACCTAACCATCTATAATTGTGTATTATGGGCTCCGTGCCTGTGTGCATAATAGATTCACAAGTTTACAACAAATATAGACCCATTAATTCCAAGTCAATTTCGTGTTAAATTCGCATATTGTATTTAGAATTGTGAGCCACAACTATGAACACATACATATTCACATTAAGATGTAAAGAAAAAAGTTAAGAGGAATACTAGGAATCGTTTGATCAGGAACCCTCGGAGACGGAGACGGAGACGGAGACGACCCAAAAATGAGTGCCCAAGGCCTCCCAGTCCACACTCCTCTTTCACCACCTGCTGGTCCCACAACAGACCCACCTCTCCCATGCCCTTCACTTGGTTCGACCCTTGTAGGCCCCAGACCCTGATCATTCCGTAGTTGTGGTGGCCTGTACGCGCCACCACTCTGACCTTTTTCAACGGGGCAATTACCCCGCTGCTGACCACCAATCTGGGTAGGAACCCCACCCCCTCCTCTTCCGCCATCACCCCCTTCTCTTCCTCCACCACCACCACCACCACCTTGATACTGACCCTGCTGATGGTGCTGGTGACGTTGGTAATTCCCACCTCTACCACCACGATTTCCTCCTCCACCACCGCCGCCACGACCACGACCAGAGCCACGACCACGGTTGTCGCTACCTGTCTCCATTGAATCAGCAAAAACAAAAGATTTTCTTTAGTTATCTTCTCTCACTACTCAAGTAAACTGGGAATGCTGTGCTTTAATACAGAAATCAACGTGGGTGTGAAATGACGGAAATGGCCTTTCGTGGTGATCAAGTGTGTAGCACTTCTATCAGTGCTTGTCGACGTGTCATTTGGGAGAATCTGGGAAATTCCGGAAGGTTCGATAAGGGGTTGGCTTTCTGTGAGGGGGTGAAGAAAGTGAGAGGAAGGGACGGAGCAATTGATGAAGTAGGATAACGTGTATGACCAGTAAATGTAGTTGTTTTAAATTTATATTTTGATAATATTATAAGGCCATGCAATTAGGAATTTATTTTTTATAAATTCTTTAATCCCAACCTAATTCGTGTGGATAACATACCTGTGATTCAATCGAAAAATAAATTAATCAAAATATATATAAGTCGATATGTGAATAAACTTGGGATTAGTGGAGAACTAATTCTATATTTTTGTCATCCGTTGGGCTTATTTTCAAATTAATTTGTTATCGACACCACCAAGCGGTAGTTTTAAAAATTTCAGTAAGTTCGATGAAAAGGGTGGGGTGAAGAAAGTTCGCGGAAAATATGTAGCAATTGGTGATAAATAGTGTCATCAATTGGTCAAGCGGTGTCATCAGTTCTCACTCATCATAATATTCTCATTTTATGAATTATTTATTCTTTTTCTTCTATATTACAATTAAGAGTGTTCAGATCAATTTACGCCTATTTTAATTAATTCTCTCTCCAGTCTGGTCAAAGATAAACCATTCATATTGGAATTAGAGAATTCTTAAGAGATAAATTTTTCATTGACTAAAATCCTGACCCCAAACGAGTTGTTAATTTTCGAACTTATTTATTTAGTCATGTAAGTTTTTACGTGAATATTTGAAACAACCACAATATTGCGCCCAACAATATCCCGATTGGTTATTTAAATTTTATCATTTTATTTTGAATTCGAATGTTGATAAATTTAAATTTTTTGTTCTATTTTTTTTTTTTTTGTATTCACGTCAACACGAATATATTTTTATAATTAAATTTATCACTCATAAATTTGTTCCAAATTAGCCATCCATCCGATCTAAACATTATAAAATAATTAAAAAAATTCCTAATACTACAAGAATTCGGACAGTACTAGATAAGGAATTAAAAAAAAAAAGGTATAATATTTTATCTATAAAGTAATCCTTAAATATGTTAATTTCAATAAAATTGAATTACTTTATTTTGACACCAATCTGTTCTTTTTTGTCATTTGCGCTAATTGATTATCTTTTTAAGTAAGGAGAAAATATTAAGTTAAACCGTTATACTATGTCAATAATGTTATATAGTACAACTTTTCATTAATACATGAGCAAGTGAACCCCACAAAATTTAAATTCCTTTTATAATAATATTACATCATTTAGTAAGGATGTTAATCGTATCTAGTGGTATTAATCGAGATGAATTCGAGTCTAAATCGAGTTAAATTTATATATAAACGAGTTGACTCGTTTGACTATTTACAAATAAACGAACTTTAAAAATTATTCAAGTTTAACTTGTTTAATAGTCCTAAGCGAGGGAATAATTTCGTGGAAGTTGCATCCTTTTCCTTCGAAGCTTGGTGTTGGTGAATCAACGTCATATCCGAGAAGTCTAAAAAATGTGGGCCACCTAGAATCATAGACATGGACTTTCGGTTCTTCTTTTTTTGTTTCCTCCAACTTTTTTAATCGTTTAATATTCTCTCTCCCACATATAAAAATATTCAATTGACATAATTAATGAATTTTAAAAGTTAAATTAAAATTTTAATTAATACAAGAATTATAATTTAAAATTAATTAAATATATAAAGACTATTGAATCAATAAATCTTATTTACAAAATTAATAAAATTCACTCATTCACTCATTCACTCATCGTGTTTAATTTAAATGTCTTTTTAGAATTTAAATTTGAGTTGCAGAGTAGTTTCGAGGAAGAGGAGGAGAAATTGACGATGTAACGTCATCAATGTGAACACAAGGAAAAAAGAAAATGGTTGGGGGAGGGGGGGGGGGGGGGGTCCGTGGGGACATGGGGGTCAAGGTAGTTAAGTCCGAAAGCCTTGCTTTTTGACCAGTGATGACTTAATTAATGAGAAAATCCTATACTATTTGTTAATTTATTTGCAAGGGATATTTTTTGGGGTATTATTACACTTTTGCTGGGTGGGGCCTAGATTTTTTACAATTAATACTTTTTTTTTCCTGTATAAAAAAAGTTCGAGAGGCAAACGGAATGAAACCCTTTACTCCGTTTGCCTCTAGTTGGGTTTGATCTTATTATCTCGAACTCGTGAGAGATGTCCACCAATAGGAGAAAATATTTAATACTTATTAGGTATTAGATTATTATTGACAACTGATACTCATCACCAATTAATAGATACTATCTTAAGATAGACAGTGAAGAGAGAAAAATTGAAAGAGAACGTACATTGAGATGACATCTCTTAATTGATGATGAATACCAGTTGTCAAAGACAACCTGATAATTACTGAATATTTTCTCTACCAGGGTCAAAAAGATAGAAAATTGCTGACATTTTCAAAGAGATTGAGTATGTGTGGACCACCCACCTAAAACAATAAAATATTCTTCTTTTCTTTCATGAGCAGTACTAATTGCCATCACCCACCAATTCTTTGCCTTAAAGCATAGTCATGGTAAATGAAATGTCAAAGTAGAATTATGCCTTTCGATGGAAAGTTAACAAAATTCTCATTGTTCTTTCACCCTCTAAAGTAGAGAAAAGCTTTAATCCATTAAAAAATTAGAGAAATTCCACTACCCCATAACCCAAAGACAAAAGAATTTATCCCTCTTCTATCTAATAAGTGCAAAATTAGTGGCTTAGAATAAAACCAATTTCAGTCCTTGTTTTTTTTTTTGTCACAATTTTTTTTTTTTTATGTATAAACATAGGAAAGTACTGATTAAATTTTCGTATTAAAAGATAACGTAGTTAATTCGTTCACAGTCTAATAGTTAATATAATAGTAAGATAAATATTTATTAGACTTCATGTTTTAGACCTTATCATTGGAAAACAAATCGTGGATAATATAATCTAAGCCCAATTTTAGTTCACTCAATTGTAGTTATATGCTATTATTTGGAACATATAAAAAAATCTTAAAAAAACTTGATTCAAATATAAACAAATATAATTTGTCAAAACACCATTAAGTTGTAGAAGAAAATTACAAATTGACTTATTTTTTAGTTGTGCAAAGATTTTAAAATTAATGATTGGAAGAAAGTATTAAATAGCTTTTTTAGTCATGAATTGTTCCAAAACATATAAAATATTATTAAGGAAGCAATGAGTTCCTAAAACACAATTGAGGTTAATTTAACTTGGATTTGAAAATTTTAATTATAGGGATTCAATTGTACTCTTACGTTGCATTTGATACGCAGAAATGCTTTTCAGTAAGAATGAAACGAGTTTGAAAATGGAATGAACTTGAAAATGGAATGAAACGAAATGCGCATTATTATTCCAATATTTGACATCTGTTTAGGATTAAATATTGGAATGAAATGTTTATTCCATTCTTATATTTTGATAAAATAATTTTTTCATTAAAATAGAAACAACTTTAACCAAAATCATAGTAACTAAAAATAATTAATAACAATTTTTTTTTATGATTGCAATTGTCTTTAAAAGTTATGTGTAAAAAAATTTATAATTAGAAAAAATGAGATTCCATTGAAAAAAATTAAAACCCCTATAAATTTTAAAAAATTAGAAAACAAATTCCTTCAAATATATATATATATATATATATATATATATATATATATATAAAACAAAAAGGAATTTTTTTTTATTCACAAAGTAACATTTACAAGAAGCAAAGATAAGGCCATAAACCGTATCATAACAAAACCAAATCAAATACAATAACCAAAAAATATAAAACCAACAAGGCAACTTCAAACAAAATTCCAGAGGCAGCCAAAACCATAAAGTCTTGAGCAATCTCAGCATCCAAGTCCATCCAATACTTCACCATTCCAGAAATAACAACTGCTAGGACTTATCCAATTTCAAACAAACCAACACTATAATATCCGCTAAAATGACCAATAAAACCCCTTCAATATCATCAAAATCAAATCATTTACATAACTTCAAAGGTTTCAATAAACTTCTTCCTTATCGTTTTCTTTTTTGATTAAACAAGAGTGGTCACAAACTTGTGAGTTAACATGTGGGTTAACTGCATCAAATCCAAATACTATCGGCATAAAAAACTTACCTTCAATGTAAAGCTGGTTTGTTGCAAAAAATAGGCCACAATGATGGTTCACAAAATGTTGTTGGTGAAGAAATAGGTATGTACTCTAGTTCAGGAAGTGGAGCCTATCTATTCAAGCCCGTTGCTGATGCTGAGCCTATTACCCATGCTGGTGGGCAAATGGTGATTTCAGAGGGCCCTTTGATGCAAGAAGTTTACTCAATGGCTTGGGAGGGATGGAATATCATGCTTCCCGCTGATGAAGGAAAAGTCACAGAGGTGAAGTGAGAAGAAGAGAGGAGAGAAGAAGGTTGGGGCTGACGATGAGAGGAGTGAGACAGAGGATGAGGACAATTGGATTTCGTCGACTTAATTTAGGCCGATTACCGATGGAAAAAGAATGACTAATATCTTGGTTTATTTAGGAATGACTAATCCCATTATTTATGGGATTAGTTATTCTTTAGAAATGGAAATGAAATTTATTCCCACGAACCAAACAAAGGAATGGGTATTACAAAGGAATGATCGTTCCAATCCTAAAGTCTAATACCATGTACCAAACACAACATTAACACTTGATTCTAGTTATAACATTTGAAATGTATTGTATATTACATTCTATTCATAAGAGTATTTTATTTCGACATTCATTCCATTCCATTCACACGGGTATTATATTT